CTTTGGTTGATGTTTTGCATCTGAATTATGATGCTTTCACGCTGCTGATTTGCAAAGTGGTTAAATATGAATTCACGTGAAGAGTATTGTGAGAGTTTTTGGCTCAGTTGGTTTTGCTGCTTATTTCCCTCTAGGTTATAGTTATTACTTTGAGGGGTGTCCTGCACTGCAAGACTGGGTCTTTAGTAGCTTGAGGGATGTAAAGATGATTGTATTACTCACACAGCAAATTTTGTGCCTGTTCTGCAAATGTAGCTGACATACTCAGCAATATGTACTGCTTATCACCTGCTTATCGTGCTAACATTAAAAGAGAAATGTCTGTAAGTATGTGTAATATGTGTAGAGGTTTACATGTATCCATCTATAATTAAAGTGATATTTTGATATTTCTAAGAAATGAGATTGTTTTTGCTTTCTTGCTGAGAGTAAGATGAGAGGACTAAAACCACTCTTAGCTCAGCATCAGAATTAGGTTTATTGCCAGGTACATTTTCACAAACGAGGAATTTGCCTTGGTATGTATTGGTGCTTAACAGTACACTTGAACGTAAATATAGAAATATAAATATAGACAAAGTAAAGCGATCAAAAATTTTAAAAAGTATACAAAATAATAAATTAATACTATAATACTAATACAAAAATGCAAAAAATATACAGGATCATTAATAATGAATGTGCAAAAAAAGTCACAATATGTGCAAAAAGAATTGCAATATACACAACATTACACAAAGACTGGAAATAGGGGGAAGCAGCTAACTAAAATGTCAAAAATTATGGGTTACTTGGACAATTGTATTTTGACATAATTTCAGAATCAAGTATGAAACTAGGCTCCACTCTCAAAATGCTCCTGCTGTTATTTTCTTTTGCAGCATTTCAAACACAAGCCTTCTTCAGTTTTTTTTTTCTGCAGGCACTTTTTCTTATGCAACTTGCTAACATGCCCCCCCCCCATAAACCCTGGTGTGCGTGTCCTTTTTCAAATCTTATATTTCAGAAAAAGAAAGACTTTGTTCACCATTCTCAGTGCAAAAAAAGGAAACAGGCTTCATTAATTTTTGTTGACACATAACAAGACAGTTAAGACATACAATGTAGGATAGACAAAATGTTTTGCACACTAGTCACATTACATGCAGGAAAGACTGAGTATGAACCAGTCAAATTAACATAAAAAAGTGTAGTCAAAGAAATGTTCCAGAATTATCCAGGAGTGGAAGTAAGTACAAAGGGATAAATCACAGATGTGGAAAACATCACATACGACAGTTTGTTTAGTCTGAAATCTTTTCATCAATCATCATCTGTTAAGCTCTTCAGACTTAAATATAAACATGTGGCACTGGATAATATTTCTATCTTTTAAAGTAATTTACAGACCACTAGAGAACTGTGTTCTCTATAATTATTACTTCCTCAGTTACTTCTAATTACTGTAAATTATAGTCTATATCTTTTGATTAACATCAACAAGTTCCTTGTTGGTTTGTCTGTGTCCTAGAAGACTACATCTGCCAATGCTCATCTGCACTGACAGAAAAGCACCACCACTAATTAGTCAGATCTAGTTTAAAAAATCATCAACTTAAAGTAATAATTATTCCTACAGATTTCACTCTTTGGTTTCTTCTGTCCCCATATCTGGACTGAGTGGGTTTGTCTTAAATATGGAGCAATAGGAATCAGGGATTACTAGCTAATTAGTGTAACTGTCATGGGATTAATTAATTCAAAGCATTTACATATATTCTAATTGTTTTACCAAGCTAATTGGCGTCACTGTGCCACAGTTGTACTGCAGTTTGTTTGCTTCCAGCGAAAGCAATATGTCAACCTTCTGCTTGCTGTTGTTGCCCTATCAGCTTTTTAAAAATGCATACACCATATTAAACACTTTGAATACCAATAGAAATGCATTTATTCAAAACGTTGTCTTGGTTTAAGTCCACATAATCCCTGCTCCTGTAATGAAAATAGTGCACTGGCTGTATTATTACTTGTGTTGTGTTGTGGTTTTGTTATATTCAAAGTTGTCAGACTCCTGAACCCATAATACTGCTGAGAAATTGGCAAATGCATTGTGTAAATTATACAGATATAACAAACTGTTGCATCACTTACATATAAGGTTTGACCTGCATAAATTTACTTAAAACTTAAAATTTTTTGTGATGAAAACATTAGCACGTCTCCAGTCTATGGTTGATGTTATCATCAGCAAATGTATTATTTATCCTCCTTCAGCCATGTTTGAAATCCCCTTCATATTACATATCACAAAGCAGAGGCTTTCCTCAGAGAATGTCATAGAGGAAAACAAAACAAAACAAAAAGAATCATTGATTCTGATCACAAATGATTTGGTATTGCTTTACAACTAAAGCCTGACCTGCATAAAGTTACTTAAGGAGGCATAAAATGCCATTTTTTGTCATGAAAACATTTGCACATGTCTCCAGACTCTAGTTTAAGGATGAAACTTTCTTGAGTGAGAGGAGTAAATTAATCTGTAACTTTCATAAGAAACAAGTCAAATAAACCAAAGATAGCTAAAATTGTCACCATTTCTGGGAACAGTTCAGTTCTTTGATCCTTTTAATAATTTCGTGGGTTTTTTTCATTCATTTTATAAACACTTCCTGCAGACTGTGACTCTTGGAAGACATTTTGATATTATTATCAGCAAACGTATAATTTCTCATTTCTCATGTTTGAAATCCCCTTCAAAAAAGCTTTCCTCAGAAAATGTAATAGAGTGAACCAAAGTAAATAAAGAATCATTGATTCTGATCACAAATAAATATAAAAAATTTTTGACTAGTATTTCAGCTGTTATGAATACTTGCCCAGTCAGTTTAAGTCAATAAATCATTTTTAATAAGAGCTTTTAAATAAACAGTACTTCAGTGCAGCTGATGATGCATAAATTGTGCTCAGGGAACCAGTTTAAGGCTATATTAAAAATTTAAGACCGTCATTTTTATGTGTTTTGTCACTATATTGACTACTCTTGTATTGATTACAACCACAAACTCACTGTTTGTTGATTCTAAAAAGGCAGAAGACCACTCATAAAAATGTCAGAGATAATTAATGCTCATCATAATTTAGCTGTTGCCTGCAGAGTGAGGGGGCTTGAGTGGGAGGACAACCTAGCACAAGGCATGACTTCTTTTTTAACCCAATCTATTTTTCCTGCATAATTATATGAATTCAGTTAATTGGGAATGCACATTTGCATATCTAGGTTATTTCTCACATGGAGAAAAAAGGTCTTTGGAGAGTATAGAAACAATTACAAGTCCGCCAGACAGTGAAACACCTCCATTTCTTCCTCCATGTCTGCCATTTCCCTCTAGTGTTTTACTCCAGGGAGGATTTGGCCCCAGTGCTCCGGAGGAAACATGTGATAACACCAAAGTGCAATATGTGCAGGAGTCACATCCATGAAGCATTTTAATGGACTTTGCAGCTGCCTTTAGCACACACTATCACCTGACAACCATCTTTAAATTACTTTGGGCACTTGTTGGTATTTATAAAAACCTGTCACGGAGGGAGTACTTGCAATGAAGTTCTAAAGGAAATTAGATTGGACCTGTTTAATCTGATACTGGCTGGTAAATGATATTGGGGGTAATCTCATTTTCTGCTCTTGCCTAAGAATTTTTCTCTGCTGTTATAAAGCCATAGCTATTTTTAATCAACTAAGCTGATGCATTATGTTGTTAGGGGTGAACATAGACTATCCTTCTCAACTGAAAGTTACTTACTATATGAGAAGTTCAGAAAGAATCTTTTGAAGTTTACTCTGAATAGCAGTTATTGTATTTCATTACAGTGAGTGCAGATTTTCAATGAATCCTTCTCCCCTTTCAATACTGTTAAGCGCTCCAAAGTGGCAGCCATAATTTCTCAACTAGTCCTTTATACTGCAGCTAATGATTGTTTTCTTGATTAATCAGTTAATTGCTTGTTCAAAGTGCCAGAAAAGGACTGCTAAAGGCACTGCTAAAAAATATGTTAAGTTAACTACTATAAAATACCAAGGAAACTAGAAAATATTCACATTTGAGAAGCTTTTCTGCAGACAGACAAACAGTTTGAATCAAACTTAAATGGGGAATCCTCCTGATTGAGCCACAAGATCGCCACTGCAAGCAGCACCGTGTAATTCCTTAATTTCCGAACAGAGCAGAATGTAATATTCCATAAATATTTATGTTTCTGGAAGCAAAAGTACATATTTAAAAACATACACAAAACTAAATTGCGGCGATGCAATTTCTAATTAGTGATTTTCCACTCCTGTGTGCTCTAACTCTGCCTCTTTCAGTACCGAGCCTGAAAGCAAATCAGTTCTGCATTATAAAGCCAGAGATAATAACATTCGGCAGGATTTTCTCCAAATGAGAGAGTCAAATAAATTGCCAGTGTGAGTTTATGTTCAGGGTCACAGAAATCCACCCACAGCTGAATGATCTTTTGCAATCTGTCTGTAAACACTAAAATAACACTTCACCAAGCAGCAGGGAAAGCAACAATATGGCTTGCAGAAAGTTTGTTGGAAATTAACCAGTGATTGTCAATCCAAATAATAATATGTCTGAAAGATATATTATGCCTGCAGGGCACTTAGAACCAATGTAAAATTATAGAAATAAGACCACGTTGCATTTAATTTCTTCATTTGACCCACTAAATAAAACCATTCTGCAGATGGAGACCAATTTACTCAGCTGTGCGATCAGCATGTCCATCCGTGGACACATTCATTGTGTCCCTATTGTCTTTTTTTCCTGCTTTCATCTGATGTCCGGGTTCTATTCAACTCAACATCCTCATCAAAGGTCGTGCTGCTCTTTCCCACAGCCAACGGGCATGTTTGATATTCCATCCCTTAAGCTGCATCAAGAAAGAAGGCACTTATAAACTTGAGCAAGTGTGATTATCTGTGTGGTATCACATCACACAGAGACACAGAGAGGATGTGAGAGAGGGTGTAGAGGGTTTTAATGAACTTATGTACAAAATATCATCATCATGAGTAAAGAATCCAAGATATTATGTTTAATTCTGTAACCTTACCCAGGTTCAGCTTATAATAAAGTGCGTATTAGGATTGTATGTTATTGAATAAAGACAGCAGATAAAATTTGGCCTCTAAAACACAAAAATAGTATGAGCCACACTGGATAATATTGTTTGTATTTGTTTTGAATGCTTTGGATTTTCTTTATGAATACCATTTTGTGAATCATATGCTCAATAGAGAGACAGTGTCCCTGTAAGATCTACTGTGCCATCTTCTGGCAAAACAGAGCTCTGGTTGTCAATCACGTTCTTAGTGTGAAGTGAGTATATGCTGTCCTCTGTTGGTGATTTATGTAAAGTGCACACTTGCAGATTATCACTGTTGCATGACAAACAAGTTGTTGTATTGTGTATTTGTTAGCTTTCTTCATGTCTTCACTTCTGGAGTTTGTGTTTGATGTTGCCTTCAGGCTGGCACACTGTCTCGCAGACCCCAAATGTCAGATCAGGCTCCATGGCAAGAGGCTTGCTTGACTTTTCCGTGTGCAAACATAAAGAGATCAAATGGCTCAAGCTCATGATGGTCATCAGGAGCATGAGGGACCCTAAAGGTAAGAGAAGACAGGGTAAACTTCCACAATAAATAGGAAAATTTGCTTGTTAAATGTGCATATAAGATGACATCTCACCACAGTAGACTGTGTTTGCAGCGAGGTCATGGATACGATAGCTTCTGGTGAACATTGCACCCAGGCCCAGAATTAGAACAGCATAGACGCTGAATGTGTAGCGCATGTACTTGGCTAACAGGGAGCTCTGTAAGATGAACCTGAGTGGAGCAATGTTTTCAATCATTTCTTTAAAATAAAAACATTCCATTATTTTGCTTTACAAAGAAAAGACAAAATCAGATATTAGACATTCATTTAAATCCCCAGTAATTTTGTCCTTACCAGATTATAGTGCACGAGGAGATTGTGGTGAGGACGATGGTGCTGACTAGTGGGTCCGGCACACCAGCTTTGTACTTCAGTACTATGCCAACACCTACCACAGCATTTAAGAGAGACCACCAGGCAAACAATGCCAAGCCATTCTGGGTCTGCCACAAACAATAAAGCACATTTCATGTATTCCAATGAAATTGACAGGAATTGAACACATCTTTCATTAGTGACCTCACGGCTAACCGAGAATATTACAGAAAGCAAATTTACTACAAGGATCATTTGGTAATTGAGCGGCCTCACCAGGTAACGTGTCAAGGAGATCACATTAGGGTTGTTGATGGCCAGCCAGCGTTTATGCTTGTTGAGGTGACAGTAGGACATGTAGAGCATGTAGAAGCTGAAGACTGGCAGAATCCACCTGAGTATGACGGCTCCAAGTATGTCGCTGTGGAAAGCAACAGCAGCTTTGATTGCCGGTGTGCACACATATTTCTTTGAGAGTGTAAATGGTGCTGTAGTTCTTTTTTTGCTACAGTATAAGAGCACTGACACTACTTACTGTGTATCCCACAGAGACATGCTGCACATTCTTGCAATGTTAATCATGGTCCACATCAGATAAAATTCTGGAGGGTGGATTTCTGGATTGCAAGACTCAGGATGGAGGATATTTCTACAGATGGAACAACAACAGTCTTAATTATAACTGAAGTTATAATCCTTTGCATTTTTTCAGCAATAGCCATTCATATTATTATTTACATTCTGTAATCCCCTTTCTACATAGCAGTTTTCAATGGCAGAGTCTGGATTTGGATTCTAATTGCCTACCTAGGCACATGAGTTTGTTTGGTTGCACTGTAAATACATACTGTAAAAACAGGTCTCTCTGTATCAAACAGGACTGAAATCTTAAGGATTATAACTTGAACCACACTTTATTCTGGCATTGTTTCTTGGAAGACACCATCCATGCTACCTTTTAAACAGGCTGACCACTGTAAACAAGAGCCAAGCCTTAGACCAAAAGTCAATCATGATCCAGCAATTGTCTGACCACCAGTCCATAGTCACCTCCAGGGGGAAGGTCTCAGACACATTCCTGGAAGAGGTCTGAAACAGAGCTGAAGAAGAAGAAAAAGAAAACAAAAATCACTTTTCCTTTTTTCTCCACGTCAAATATACTCTGTGTGTGTGTGTGTGTGTGTGTGTGTGTGTGTGTGTGTGTGTGTGTGTGCTCATAAGGCCTAGTAATTTTCATTGGCCTACATCCATGTCAAATGCTTCAGAGCAAAGGTCCTTCAGTAAGAAGTGCACTGTAAAACATCCATGTTTTTATAGCTATGAGACTGATTTAATTTTTGATGATAATAAATATTCATGACTAAATATGCATTTATAATACATCTTTACCGTAGGTATTATTTATTATTAAATTAAACACTACACATTTATCTTGATTGGTGCAATGAAGTATGTTACTTCACCATTTACTAAATAAGCCCGCCCACTTCAAAGTAGTGAGAGGTGTTCAGAGAAAAAACTAAACAGCAAAATCTCATGTGAAATAATAAAAACTGTTCAAACACTGGCTAAAAATAACGTGTTAATGTAGGTCTCCATTACTCACAGTAAAAAGTTAATTTCAGGGCCTTTAAAGAATGTTTTTAATGTAGTGACTTTAAAAAAAACACACACACAATAACATATCACTATAAGCAAAGGATAAGCTTAATAAAACCATCACATTCTCGTATTGTCAAGCTCTGAATACTTCTGCTGTGATTAAAATATTGAAATATTCAGTAGATGTGGAGTCACTCACCATTGGGCACGCAGCTGTCTGTTGCCAGGCTAAAGAAGATTTCTGAGATCACCTGAGTAATGACAGCCAGGACAATGCACCCAGCATGTATCACTACGTGGTTGCTGTTTTTTGCTAGGAGGGGAGACATCTGGAACCTCACCATCGTGTCCAACTACAGCTCAGAATACTGCAAGGCACATTGTTTGTCACCACAATATAAGGACTATAGACTTTGGATTGCTGCATGTACTGCACAATTTTATGGTATGGCTTGATTACACCTGTAAAGCCCTGTAATCCCTGTAGTCATTATAAAACAAGGCCTGTGTCTGTGCGTGTGAGAAAGATACAGAGCTGACATTACACTTTTGATACAGTTGTACACAGCAGTTTTTACTTGGTACACTTGAACTTATCAAAGGGAATAGTTAATGCTGTAATGATTAGACAACTTATTGATTAGTTTATCAATATACATTTTTTAAAAGTAATTTATTAAACAAAGAAATATGTTTTATTATTTTTGGATTTGGTATTGTTGTAAAACAAACAATTTGAAGATGTTATCTTGTGCTTTGAGAAATAGAGAACTATTATTTGAAATGTTTAGGATTAACCTATTAATTAATACAAAACATATTTCTTAGTTTCAGCATTAAATAAATTGTTTTGCTTAAAAGCAAATGGTCTAATATAATGAAATCATGTATACTTACAAATGTTTTGGTAAATTAAACAAGAGGATACTATTTATGCATAGAAATGCCTGAAGGTTAATTAATGAATCCCTTTTTCAATTTCCATCTCATATTCATAAATTATTTATTATTATTATTTATTTTAACTTTTCTTTTACTGTTCCTATTATTTTGTATTGAGTTTTTGTGTTGAAACACATCTTTTGTAATTTTGTTTTACTATTTTTCCTCTTATTTACTGTTATTAATCCACCATTTGTTCAGTCTAATTTTATTCCTTTTGACTGTGAAAAACACAATATTATTATTAAACTCCTTTTGATTGAAATTAAAAATTATTTGTGACATGCGCAAGTGTTTTAACACATTCATTGTAATATTTATTGGTATACAGTAAATATAGTAAATTTCAAATCAGCTGTCTGAGATTGCCATCCAGAAAAATACTGCTGATGAGTAAAACAGGTGACCACTTGCTCTAAGGTAATAATCACAGAGTTTTCTTTGTGTCATGGCTATTTCTACTGGCGACATACTGGGTCCACTGTCACTGTAAAGCGGCCTTTTGTGATGCTTCCATGTGACCAGGGTGATGTGTGCCACAAATATAATGCAGGAAATAGCCAGGATCAAAGCTGAAGAGGAGATTAAATATCTATATGAGTAGAAAATTGCAAAAAAGTATATTAGAAAAGGTGTGTGGGGTAAGTGTCAAACAGTACCTGCAAAATTGTAAATGTGATGTTCAGGGGAGGCAGAATTGCTCATTATGCCTGTCAACCACAGGATTACCACAGGGTAGATGGTCACGATATAACGCACATGCTCATCAAGGTAGAAGTTCTCTAACAGAAACCTGGGAGCAAGGGGAGACAAAGACAAAAGATTTGGGTTCCTTTGCTCATGTATTTTCTCTCAGGGTAAGAAAAAAACACCAACATGACAGAATGCAGCAGGGAATCAGTCTCACCAGGCTAACAGCTCCAGCAGAAGCAGCAGCAGTGACAGCATTGCACATCTAGTTCCTGTTTCTGTCTGCTGTAAGTATATCGTCAGGTTCAGCAGAGTGAAGAGAGTCCCCCATGTTGCATATACTGCAACTCCATTTTGTACCTGATTCCACACAATGAAAGTCAACTTTTAAGCTTGAATGATTAGCAATGTCTGAAAAAGGACTGAAAAAGGTTTTTCTTAATGTTACTCATGCATATTTGTTGACAAAGATTTTATCATAATTGTTTTGAATGTTCTGCCTCAGATTTGTGAAATGATCCACTGTTTGGCCTCAAGTGTTGACCATAAGAGTTTAAACCACAATTAACCATCAGGTTTCTTACACTTTTACTCAGAAGCAAAAATCAGCCTTTAAACTCAAAAGAAATAACGATTTGATACTCATCATGATAATAATCGAAATCGAAAGATATGGAACATTTTTGTCCATGTTGTCCGGACCTATCAACTAATTGTTTCAGCACAATAAGCAGGTTGTAAAGCTATGGCAATATCTCAATCCTGAAGTATTTGGCTGAATTTCCCTTGCTGGGGTGTCCTGTGACCTTATATCACCTCTTCTTTAATGTTAAGTGCAAGGCAAAGAGGGACTGAAAACCAATCTCAGGGTATTTTCTATGGCGTAACACTGCTAGCTGCTTCTACCTTCCTAATCTCAGACCACAGTCGCCTTGTGCACAGACTTAGCACAGCCAGTGGGACTGGGCATTTTTTTGAGGATTCACTCTTTAGATATGGGTGATGGAGCAGCCAGCAGCTTTGGGACCACTGGCTGGCTTCTTTAACCTTATAGTGTGTCAGCAGTGTGCAGTGGGACCTAACAAATGGAAAGCTACTGACAGACTGATAAAGGAATGGTCTGACATTTTCAGAAAAAAACACTCATTCGCTTTTTTGCTGAGAGCTAGAATCATTGCCAATCTCTAGTTTGTACAGTAAATAGGAAGCTGGTTAGCTTAGCTTTGAATGACTGGAAACAGGAGGAAAACAGTTAGCCTGGCTGTTTAGCCAATATTCTGATGAGCCAAAGAACTGCTTTGTGATATTTGTTCAACCAGGCTCCATAGATTCTTCAGTCCACAACAAGAGAAAAATAGGATCATGTAACCGCTGAACGTCATTAGTGCTGAAATTATCACCACTGGCAGCAACAACCTACATGCACACAGAACAGCAGACATTTAAACTGTCAGGAATGACAGTAATAAATATAATAAAATAATAAATAAATACAGCTGTTAATGGTTTTTAGAAATTGAGGACCAGGTTTGGGTGCCCCACCTGAACTCACACACTTACTCCCGATCAAACATAAACAACCATGAAATGTTCAAGCAAATATTGATGAAAATAGAGACATGAAATCCAAAGGGTAGCACTGCAGGTGTGGTGTACATCCAGTCATAAGAACTCCTGCGGGGAGCAAAGATAATATTGTTAGATCCGGGAGGAGAAAAGACACAGCAGCAAACAAATTGTGCCTGTGGGGAAATAATCAGACTCTTTCATTCAGAGCCAGAGCAATCTACAACATGTAAAGAGAAAATGACTGCACAGAGGAAGACTAAATTGCCTCTGGGTTAGGTGGTGATTTTCTCCATGTTATAATACATTTTACACAAGTACTAAGAAATAGACACAGTTATGCAGTGTGATGCAGCTGTTAAATATTATCATATTTGATAAATTATGTATGAAAATATGACAAATGGTGCAAAAGCCTACCTTCTACAGAGTCCCACTAAAAAGTATATAAACATGGCAAAAATCCAAAAATATATGAAATCCCAGACAAACAGAGCCCACTGAGCAGGAGTTATGGGGGTTTTATGCTTGAGTGTCACATCCTCTGTGCTCTGCTGGAAAACACCTGCATTGAGATGAGCACAGTTTATTATTTATTCCATAACATACTTTAGAAAACGCTTCAATTGATTCATTAGGATTTATCCGACAAATTTTCACCTGATTTAGCCCCGAAGCCCGATAGAGAGTTGAATGTGAGTGCGGTTAAAAAGCTAATCAGTCCAACAATGAGCACAACACGGGCTGGGCTGTGGGTTACCATAATGATGCTCTGAAGGTAAAAGTCCACAAAAGGATGAAACTGCCCATTTTGACAAGAAAGCAACAACAAAAGCACATAATTTATTTTCTTGCTACATAAACATCTGAATCTATAGTTAAACTCACCTCTTCACTTATCTATATATGTACGTTCCCAGTCTTTCTGGTTCTTCAACTACAAATGTGGTCCAGTATCTGCAGGTCTGAAATGGAGAATGAGTGTGTACCTATCATAACCTGTCTTGGCATGATATATTGTGTCATCTCATTTTATTGCCTACATTGAGCATCTGTTATGTTCACTAGTCATAAATAATCTGATGCTTAATTGTTAAAAGCAGGCCAAAGAGTAAAGACCAGGTTGTGAAAAAGAAGTCAGTACACAAACATAAGAATGGTATTGGTAAGTATGCTAAATCACCAGGGTCCCAGCAAAACAGAAAATATAGATGCACTGAGTTGTAACCGTCTTTCGAATTATACAATTTAAAAATGCCCCTTCCGTGTTGGCATTTGGTTGGAGCTAATAGATTAGGTGTGAGGATAGGAAGAGTTCAGATCGATAAGGCCAAAACTCTCTACAAATCTGTTTTACTGATGTAATTGAATTTGACCATTGTTATACAGCAGAAAATTAAATCAAGAATAAGGAGGTTATGACATTTGCTGACTTGGAAATCATTCCAATCTTATTTCTTTTTTTTGTTTGTTTTTTACTGTTAAATATTTATTTCTAAAACAAATGTCTCAGAAACGTATTTCATATTGATGTATTTCTATAGTATAGACAGTATTTCAAAGCTGTAAATGGTCTATTATTTACCTTCTATGTTTGCATTATAGAGCTGAAGTGAATGGCAAAGGGCAAAGACATTGTTGATTTTGTGCTGATTTTTACTGCATGTAATGTCATCATGTAAAGTCACTGCAGGTCTTGTGTGTGCAGCTTTCTTCCACACAGTGGCACCATTGCATGATAATGTGGCAGTGTGGTCTTGTGAGAGTTTATAGTAACAGCTTCCTCTACTTTTAATTTACATTCAAATGCTGAATGAGTTCAAAGGAACTACAAATGGGGATCTTCCTCTCCTTAGAGACACTTTTCACACCTACTAGTGGGGAGGAAAGTAAGTACAAAATGTCCTTAAGCACAATTTTGAGGTACTTGTGCTTTACTTAAACTTCTACTCCACCACAATTCACAGGGAAATATTGTGCTTTTTACTTCACTACATTTACTTGATCACTTAAGTTACTAGTTACGTTGCAGATTCATATCAATATTACAAAATATTACAAATACATTATGATGTAAAGTTATAGGTTACGATGAGACTTTATTGATATACAAGCTACCAAGCAGTGTTTAATGTGATAAAAATTATCCCCACTTTTACAC